CGAGGAAGGCGGCTGAAACCTGCAGACACAATGGACCGTGAACTCCAGCTGCCTTTACAAATCCAAACATTTTTATCAGCCTTTGCTGATAAAAATCAGCCATTTATCACCGGGAGCCTGACCCTCAGCAGCTCTTTTTCAAGTCCCTCCAAAGAAAGCGGCATCAGCAGTGAAAACTGCTCAGCATCCAGCTGGTGAGAGGACAGGGCAAACAGTTGTTTTCCTCTTTGACATTTCTGAAAATCTCCAATTCCCCGAAAATATTGCAGTCAATTTTCTCGGCTTTTTCAGTATCTCCCCCCCCACCCTTTTTTTTAAGTGCAAAATTCAACATTTTTGTTTTGTTTTGTTTTTCCAAAAAATTGTATAAATACCCCTCGGTCAGCCCAGAGGAATAATTTTCTCTGTTGCAAGAAAGTGTCATTAATGCACTAACAAGAATTTGGGCAGCTGCTGCCTGACTTTTGCAACGTCTCTTCCAGGCTAGGGAACGCTTCAGAAACTGGATGAGAGTAGGTTTAAATTACATATTAAGAATGAATTTTTACTGTGAGGGTGGTGAGGCCCTGGCACAGGTTGCCCAGAGAAGTTGTGGATGCCCCATCCTTGGAAGTGTTCAAGTCCAGGCTGGGTGGGGCTTGGAGCAGCCTGGTCTGGTAGAAGGTGTTCCTGTCCATGGCATGGGGTAGGAATGGCATGATCTTTAAGGTCCCTTCCAGTACAAACCATTTAGTGATTCTGTGAACTTTGTGCCCATGTTCCAGGATGGTAAACCAAGGCCATACTGGAAACTGCTGCCGGATCCAGCTGCCCTGACAATAAGAGAGCACACTTAAGGCAGCATCCATAGGGCGATGTCCACACAGCTCCCAGCCACCACTGCCAAATTCTAGCCATGGAAATAGTTCCTGGGTGCAGGGTTGGACCGTGCAACTCGGATCCCAGCAGGAATCACACCCACTGCACCCCCATGCTGTGTCCTAAGGAGGTGATGCGTGTTGCACCGAACGTAGGCAAAAACGTGACTTGTCCTTTCCTTCCAAGTTTCCTTTGGAGAATATAAAAAAAAAGAAATAATAAAAAAAAAAACATTAAAAGAGGAGGATGAATCACAGCTTAGTCAGAGTTGGGGCTCGTTAGAGCAATTGCTGATGGTGGTGGCATTTTGATGCCGGGGGCAGAGTGCCAGGAGAGGCTGGCTGGTGACCAGTGGGTTCTTCCAAAGGGGATGGGGAATTAAGTCCAGGATTCTTCTGGTGGGATGCATCCAAAGCCTAATTCCACTGTTCAGGATGCGTTACTAGGTGAGTTCGATGTTAGAGCAGCAGTGGAACATAAGAGGGAATTGAGGGAGTTTGGCTCTGATGTTTTGGAGAAGTTTGCAGCCTGTAAACCCTGTAAGAGATGGGTATACTGTTCTCACAGAAACAGGTTATTTCCCCCTTTTCTGCCAGACTTCCCCTCTTTGCACTGCCCTTTCCTCTTCCACCTCTCTGTACTTGCTGCCTTCATCCCTCAGACACTCAAGGTCATTTTGTCCCCCATCCACCACCAGGACTTTCAGATTTTAAACCCTGCATTACATTTATACCCCTGTCCCTTTGCATTTATTAAATGGTCCCTGAGATGGGGAGGGGTGAAGCAGCAGCTCCAGCCAGCACTGGCTGGTTTATCCCACCCTCCACATGCTCCATCACACAGCGCAGCAGAGGATGTGGGACAGCATCCCTGGCTGTCCCGTGGCATCCTGTGCTTGTTGTGCCTCTCAGCGAGCTGACACACCTCTTACTGACAGCATTCCTCTCCCTCAGTGACTTGATTTCTGGAAAATTCGCTGAGCTAAGCACCCCCGTGGGCTCCTTTCACAGCAGCTGCGAGCAACAGCTTATTTACCGGTCTGGGTGCTATTAATAGGGAGCTGGGATTTTGCATGGCACAACTTGAGAGGGGAAAAATAATCCTCTCAGAGTACCTAGTGAGACATCCTGCTCACCACCCTCTCCCCAGGGTGAAAGTGCCTTATAAATAGTAATGGTTCTTCCAGCTGACCTCCCTCAGAGCAGCTGGGTGCTCGTGCCCCTGAAATCCAGGCCATTTATTTAGGAGTTGAAGCTTTCCGCTCCAGTTATTCAGGAGTTTTTTAGCCAAGAGTTACTAGGTGGAGCTAATTTGAAGTGACTGTGATTTTAATTCAGGCAGGGTTTCGCTTTCGGGCTCCTTTTGATATTGTGGGGGTGGTGACTTGTGAAGCCACAGAGAGGAGAGTGAGCTGCTGGAGGAAGGGGGATGATGCCCAAATTCCTCGTCCTGTAACATCATGTGAATATTTGTCCTACTTCTGATTCATGTTTTAGCTGGCAACTGAGCTTCTGTTGCCCTCCACGTGAAAAGGATTTGGGGATTTTGGAAAAAAAACAACCCTCCTGGCCTTTCCCAAGGATGGATTTTGTGCACAGTGGTCCAGGGACCGCTGTTGTGCCTGATCCCCATCCCACATTTGCCAGCTGGAGCACTCACTGCTCCCTCCCATCTTCCTTCCCACATCCCAAATCTGGTTCTTTTCCAGCTCCCTCATAGTAGCTATTTAAAAATTTTTTTTTTTGTTGTTGCCTGTGAATATTTTTTCCCTGTGTAGGAGAGGGAAGGATTGTGCATTTTTTACTCCATCCATCTTGGCTCCATTTAAGGAATTGGCCAAAAATACCTTCTTTCTAGATGTGTTAACAAATACAAGCCTTTGCTTCCAGGGGAGGAAAATGCCCTATATAATAAAAGAAGGGGTTTGAATGCTTTAAGTATCTGAGATGCTCCTTAACGGGCTTTAAATTTTCAAGCAAAATTTGCTTTATTAAACCCCATCAAAGCAGATGCTCCCACCTCTGCGGCTCTTCCCACCTACCCCATATTCCCACTTCTCCCTGCTGTGGCACGTTCCCACCCAGCATCCTGCCAAAAGGACCCCCCTGTGCCAGGTGGGATAATCCTCATAGCTAAGGCAGTGTTGGGGTGCAGGGGGAGGGTGTTGAGCATCTTTAGGACTTCAGTGTCACCATAGGAATTTTCTGAGTGGTTCCTGGACAATGTCCCAACCCCTCTGTGCTGCAAACACGGGCTGTGTCGGGGTGTGAGTATTGCTGGGGTGCTGTTTGCAGCCTAACTGAAGGTGGAAATGAGACTTGCAGGAACCTGGTGAGCAGATTAAGGAGTTTAATAAACTAACAGAAGAATGAAAATTTAAAAAAAGAATAATAATAATTACATATTTGTCATAGGTGAATATGCATGACAGATAGAAAAATAATAGAACGAAAATATTAAAATATTAATAAATTATTAATGAAATAACAAATAATAAATATGAAACCAGCGAGATTAATAAACTAAAAATAATAAGAGAAATAAATAATAAATCAATACTAAGCACCCGTTTGAGAGCAAAGGTTCCCGCGGAGCATCCCCAGCGCTCCGCGGCCGCTTCACCCTTGCGGGGAGGGACGGAGGGATGCGGGGGGTGGACCAGGCGCCTCCCGGGCGCGGATGCGGGCGCGGAGCGGGCGGAGCAGCCGCGGTGGCCGCGGGCGGAGGAGGAGCCGCCGCATCCCGGGCATCCCCTCCGGGGAGGCGGCCCGGCACCGCATGTGCGACGTGAGGGACGTGCAGGAGCGCAGACACCGGCATCCCCCGGCCCCCGGATCCCCTGAGCCCCCCCGGCATCCTCGAGCCGCCCTCGAGCCCCCCGGGTCCCCCCGGCCCGAACCCTCTGAGCGCGGTGTGGGGGCGCGCCAGTGGAGCCCCCCGTCCCACTGCTGTGTACTTGGAATTCATTTATTTTATTATCACTTTATTATTTTATTTTAAAAATATTGTTATTTGTAGAATAATTTTTATTTTGTTTCTCTCGTTTTGATTTTTTCAGTTAATTTTATTTTTATTTTATTAAAATTCTATTATTTTAGGTTTTTTCCCTTTTTAAAAATTTTATTCCATTTTTATTTTCTATATTTTTATTTTATTTTTTTTCTTACTCCATTGTTATTTTCTATCTATATTTTTATTTTTTGTTTTTTTTTCTTACTCCATTGTTATTTTCTACTTTTCCTAGGGTTTATTTTATTATCCTCATATTTTTTTCCCTTTTATTTCCTTTTTATCCGCTCAATTAATCTTTACTTCATTTTATTTTCCCCTTTTTATTTCCTCGCTTTACCTCCTTTTAATTTTTCTAAATTATTTTTTTTTAAAAAAATTTCATTTTAATCTCCCCCTTTTACTTTTTATTTCCTTTCCGCCATTTTAATGATTTAATTATCATCATCGGTTTTATTAATTTTTATTGCTTTTACTCAATTAATTTTCTAACACGGGAGAAGCGAGACGGGAAAGTTTTTTTAACCGTACACTTTTTTAGCTTGGGGGAGCCTTCACACACCCACCCCCCCTGTAATAACACCCCCATAATTCCCCCCCCTTCGCTGTCGCATCCTTTGGTTTGGGGGGTCGGTGGTCGCGTCCCCGCGGGGAACAAAGCGGGTCCTTTGTCCGCGCTGCAGTTCCGGGGGCGGGCGGCGGGGGGCAGCACTGCCCGGGCCGCGCCGCATCCCCCCCTTCATCCTCCCTTCTTCCCCTCCCATCCTCCTCCTCCCCATCCTCCTTCCTCCTACCTCTCCTCCTTCCCGCCTCCTCCCCGGCTCCGCAGCGCCCGCCGGCCCCTCCCTGCCCTCCCCGCCCCGCGGGGCGGGCGCCGCCGGGCCCGGCCTGTCGGGATAGAAATAGGCGGCACCGGAGCTGCCGGCACATCGCGAGCGGAGCCGGGCAGGGCGGCAGTGGAGACCGCAGCAGCAGCACCAGCGCCACGAGCAGACCTTCTCAATCCTTTTTTTCCCCGGCTGCCTCGCGTGGAGATTTTTCCTACTCTTTTTTTTTATTTTCCTCCCTATTTTTTTTTTTAATATATTTTTCTTTCCATCGCAGTCCGCGGCAGGGCTCGCCCTCGCTCCCCAACAGCGCGCAGCGGCAGCGCTGGTGCGGTTCCTGCCCGGCTTTGTGCCCTGAAGCCCCGTCCCTCCTCTTCCTTCTCCTCCTCCTCCCCCCTCCTGCCGTAAAACCTTCACGAGGCTCCGAGCAGCAGCATCCGAAAGCGCCTCAGCCGCTCGCTGAAACCACCGACTGCAGCAAAAACCCCTTTTATTTTTTGTTACATATTTCCTCCCCCTCCTTCCTCTTTTTTTTTTTTTTCTCCTCCTCCTCTCCCCCGCAAACGCATCAAGGTGGACGCGGAGCGCAAAAAGACCTTTGTTTTAAAAATGCCCATGGAGCTGACGCAAAGCCGCATCCAGAAGATTTGGCTTCCCAATGACAACCGCCCGGCGCTGCCCCGCCGCTGTGAGTACGGGCACCGCAGCATCCCCGCGGGATGGGACGGGATGGGATGGAGGGGTGGGTGGGAAGCAGTCCCCGTCCTCTGCGCTCCCAGAGGGGGCTCTTTGCAGCGCCCTCCTCCCTCAGCATCCGTGCAGCATCCCGCTTCCCCCCTCCTCTGCCTGCTCCAGCATCATCCCCGTGCCCGCATCCCACTCGCTGCCATCCCGTGACTCACTTCCAGCCCTTGGGAGCTGGAGGAAGGTGCAGCCGTCACATGGCCCCGCGCAGCGGAGGATGCGGGGAGGTGCTGAGACACGCGTGGCCCAATTTCCACTCCCTCCTCCCCGCTCCCCCTCTTGGCTTCCAGCCCTGGGATTAAAAGGAAAGGGAGCAGGTTGTTCACCTCGGCGCCCGGTCACCAGCTCAGCAGGGATTTTTCAGGGTGTCACAGAGTCATGAATGGTTTGGATTGAAAGGGACCTTAAAGCTCATCCTGTTCCAACCTCACTGCCATGTGCAGGGATCCCTTCCACTAGACCAGGTTGCTTCAAGCCCCATCCAATTAGTGCATTATAAATTTTTGGTTTTTTTGGAGGTGGAGGCAGGATTAGGGAAATGGATTTAGGGAAAAAAAAACCCAGCTGTTTGCACTTTTATCATTTAACCCTGTGGGATGAGATAAGAGACAGGTGGAGGGGAAGGCAGAAATTAATGATAAAACTTCTGCAGTGCTCTTTGAAGCTCAGAAAAATCCTTGAGGGGTTAAAACCAACCTCTGTGTTTAAAAAAAAAATAAATTATATATATATATATAAATAAAATCAAATGTTTGGGTCATCCAGGTGTTACTATAAACCAATTCATGAATCATAATACGATCTGAAAGCTCAGGAGGCAGCTCCTTTAACTCACCCAACAGCTAAACTGACAACCTACCAGTTGTGCAACTCCGTGTAACTCTAAATGAGCATCGCAGGAATCTGCAGAGCCGGGATGGAGGAGATGGCACTGGATGAAGGATAGAAGTGGCTTGGGCAGTTGGGTGAATCAGTCTTTCCGATGCTTTTCTTCATCAGGCATTTAAAGTCACTTCTGGTGTTTATTTCTCTTGGCTGGAAAGTATCCCCTTTTAAGAAAAATAATAATAATTTTAGAAAAAGCAGATATCCTATGAATTTGCCAGCTGTTGTTGCCCGGGGCTATGGGTCAGGCTCCCTGGAGCAGATGTTGGGACGTGCTGCCTGAGCCTGGCAAGGGCAGCTCTGCAGCAGGAGCTGCTGAGGAAATGGGATTTCAGCAACAGGCTGAACATCTGGGTTGCCAAGGGGCTTTGATCTGAGTGGGGTAAAATGGCTTAATGCTTTGCATGTGTGTCTGTATGGCTTGACTTTTCTCAAGGACTGACACCTCTGAAAGAAATGCCTTGTGCACGCAGAGTCTCCCAGTGTTTCTTGCCACTTGGTTTCTCAGAGGAGAGAATTCCCTCTTGGTAGAGAAGACTAACATATTTAGTATATTAAGGCACTAAAGGGCTTATTAATAACACAATGTGGCTTCTAATTATTTTTTCTCGGGCTGGGAACAAGCCATGCTGGGCACTTTTCGCTATGCAATATGGGAAGAGGGTTGTTAGGCTTTTTTAGATCTATCTTTTTATTTATTTTTTTTTTTAACACAGGGTGGCTATTTTAAACTCGAGGTGCTATTAATTCCTCAGCAGCAACAAAGAGCAGAGCCACAAAGCTGGGTGGGAAGCGGGGGTGTAACGGAGACCACGGCCGGTGTGGTCCCTGGAGGGAGCGGGAGCATCCCTGGGAGCATCCTCTGGAAGCTGCTCCCTGCGCGCGAAATAATTAGTCCGATTGTCGCTTCCTCGTCAGTGGGAGGCTGGAGTGGCTCGGAAGTGGTGCCTTCGTCTGGCCTTTTGACGGCGATCCATTAAATTGCTGTCAAGCTGCACGTCTCTCACGTAGGGGCTGGGAAAGTCAAGTCGTCGCAGGCGCCGGGTGGGCAGAGCCAGGCGAGGGGAGGGGGCTCGGGAGGGGGATGCTCCAGGAGGGAAGGGGCTGCCGCTGCCTTTCTCTGTCCCATCACTTCTCTTTGCCATCACTCCCGCTCGGGGGCTGTGCCTGTAAAACCCCGGCTGGCGCGTTCTCGGGGCGGTAGCGGTTCCACGTGTGCGTGTGATGCAAAGTGCAGAAACCTTCATGCGTGAAGGTGTCAGGGGATTGCGGTGAGAAGAAGCTGCAGAAGGGGAATGTAGGGCTAATGTAGAACATGCGGTGTGGGGGATCACTTATACAAGGAGACCGTAAAAGTGCCTGAAGTGGGGAGGTGGCTGTTTTATCCGACCTGTTAGAGAAGCAAATTTCCTTCCCTCTTGTGGTTTGTATTGTTTTGTTGTGTTTTTTGTTTTTGCTTCCTTCCCTCCCCTGTTCTGGTAAAGCACAGGAGCTCATCAGTGCTGACTTTCTGGCAGCTGTAAGCCACACGTGATGAGCGCCTTCTAAATATCCTGACTGAGCCTGAAAGTCATCCCTGACCTTGACTTACCTGGCTAGATATGGATAAGCGGTAATGAATATCCATTGAAATCCCTGATAGCTTCCCAGCAGTGGTGAAAAGAAATTATGAATGAGGTCTTTGTGAAACACTGAGCAAAACACTGGTTTCTGTTTCATCCCTGATACAAAGTTTCTCCGGAGACTTTTGTGATTTAGTTGGGTTTGGGCTCAGATTCCTGATAAAAAAGTTCCTTGCTGGATACCCTGGTGTTTTGGGAGCTGCTCCCAGGTCTGTAAACAGATGCTTTTTCATGGTCCAAGGGGAACCTGGATCTTGATCTTTCCTTTGGCAGAAAAACAAACTGTGGGGAGATTCCTCAATTACAGGTGTTTAACTCCTGCAGCACCCTTTGGAGGTGGCACGTATGTGCCACCTCTGGGACTGTCACAGATGTCTGGAGCCAAAGGCACATGAACAGTACCCAGTATTGTCCCCATCCTCTTGAACTGCTATTAATGGCCCAAAATCCTCTTGGCTCTTTGAGATCCTTTGTCCACTCTTAAAGGAAGGGTTTCTTTATTTGGGTATTATTCCCTCCTCCTCACTTTATCTAATAAGTGTGTGGGTTTTGTTGCAAAACCAGACTTGCAGCCATAGGCTGTGAGAGGAAGTGAAACTGTTAGAAGGGAAACAAAGATTTTTCTGGGTATATTGCTCAGCTCCCTTGGTATCCAAGTGTGGAAAATTGGCACTTGCTGCCAAAATCGATGAGAGCTGCCCTGGGCTTTTGAAAGGCAGCACTGGGGAGGCAGGTTCTACAAAGGGAGTGAGTGTGAGGGCAGCTCCAGCCTGAGGAATGTGGAATATTTATGAAAAGAAGAAAAAGAGAAAATATATTTTAGGTAGTTTTTAATCTCTTGCCTGCTGTGTCTGCTTTGGTGAGACAACGAGGAAGATGATGGGAGGCTCTTCTCTGCTGTCTGGGTACCAGTGCTGTCACTCTTCCTTGTGGTCTTAATTTGGTTTCTTCAGCTGTTGGATTTATTTTTTTCCTAGAAAGCAAAGGGAATCCCACGTAATTTGCATGTTTTATGGATACCTCTCAGTTTTGTTTGCCCTCTCCAGATCTAATCTGAGTCTCCATCCTCAGGTCCCACCTGCAGGCAGCTGGGACAGGCAGGCAGAGCTCTCCACCTAGACCATAATTAAGCTGGGGTTTATGGCTCTGCCACCAGCCACTCACTCCCTGCATTCCTTTCCCATGAGGTCTCTGGGCTCACCGGGTGGATGGAAGGGTGGGAGGGAAATCCCCTGGAGGGTCTTGCCTGTCCTGCCCTTGCTGGGAGGGCTCTTGGAGTGTCACACTGGGCGGCATGAAAGGCAGCTGGCTAATCTAAATTCCATTAGGCATCATTAAGATCTTCCTTTCCTGGCTTTGTGCCTTGGCCTTGCCCGTGTGCAGCACCATGTGAGAAGCAATTCTTCAGAGCAAGCCCTAGAGAGGAGCAGGGATGCAGCCAAGGGAGAGGGATGCTGCCTCATTACATGTTCCACGGAATGTGTGGTCCAGATGCATCCCCTGACACTGGGGCTGCAAAGTACTAAAAAAAAAAATTCCCAAACTGTATTCCCAGTCCTGTAACCTCAGCAGTTTCCTCTGAACTGAACCAGGAATTTGCCTTCAAAAGGACTTATGGGGGGAGAAAGTGATTCACCTGGGCAGCCTGGCAGCTGATTTGTCTGCATTTTGGTCATGCCATTCAAGTGACTTGGACAGGAATTTCTCTTCACTTGCCAAGTCATTGCTAAGTGCTGCCTCTGGATTTTATTTCCAGCTGTTTGACATGGATGCTCTTTACCACAAAAAAACCCGCAAACCAACAACCCAGCTTAAAATAGGTTTATGAGAAAAAAGGGATAAATTACTTGGATATCTGCTTTTAAATGCTGATGGTTCTGTGGTCTTCATACCCTGTTTGTCTTCAGAAAAGCAGTTGGTTGCATTTGCACGTGTATCAGTTAAGAATCTAGTCAAATATTTTGGAAGATGCTCTCTGGGGGAAGATCTCTGTGCAGACCTGGTATTTCAGCACAGCAGCAGTGTCTGAAGTGTGCTGCTGCAGGACCTGGACCAAAGTACTTGGCCATCCTCCAGCTTTTCACAGAATTGGCCAATCCACAGAAATGGGAGGTTGTGTTTGCCTTGTTTTCTTTTTTTTTTTTTTTTTTTGTTGTTGTAAGTAAGGAAACTGAGGCGTGGAGACTCTCCAGGGAGCCTGGGCCAGCTGCTGGTTCCTTGCCTACTTTGCAGCCATCAGGATGTTCTTACCGTGGCTTTCAGGCTGTGACTGTTGTCCCCCCCTGGTTTGGGTGACACCAGGGTGAATTTGGGTCAGCATGGCTTAGCTGGGCCAGCTGTGTCTCACCAGTGGGAAGCCATGGAGCCATCCACCGTGCCTCCTGCTCAGGGTCTTGGTTGTCCAAACTCACAAGAGGGAGGTACAAGAGATTACAGAGGTGATGGTGCACAAAGAACACAGGTTTTGGGTTTTCTCAGCTGCTGAAGGATTTAGGGGAAGGCTGAGTGAAGAGCAAGTGCCTTGTAGGGTTGATACAAGATGAGCTGGAGGATTCACAGCTGCTCATGTTCTTTCTCCTCCTCCTCCTCATAGCCTGTGGGCCACAGCTTGCCAATTCCCCCACTGTGATAGTGATGGTTGGCCTCCCAGCCCGTGGGAAGACCTACATCTCCAAGAAGCTGACCCGCTACCTCAACTGGATCGGTGTCCCTACAAAAGGTGAGGCATTCACTGGCTTCCTGGGGGAAGCATGAGGTTTGGTCCTCAGGAGTTGCTGTAGGAGCTCAGTGCCTTGGGATGTAGTGGGAGAGCTTTCCAAAATCGGATGGTCCAAATATTGGTGTTTTGCCATCATTTCTGCTGCAGCCTGGGTCCTCCTTCACTTCAAGATCACGAGATGTCCCTTGAGCCCTTTGCTCTAAGGATGTAATTTCTTATCACTTTGCTTGCTTTAATCGCAGAAACTGTACAGGTGAGATGAGCTCCTGATTTTGATGGTTTTTGTCTTTCCCAAATAGTTTTCAACGTGGGGGAATATCGCCGTGAGGCCGTGAAGCATTACAGCTCCTATGACTTCTTCCGTCCTGACAACGAGGAGGCCATGAAAGTCAGGAGGTAAGTGTGGGCACTGCCTCCATCCTGGTGAAGCCCATGGCTGGAGCACAGTTACCCAGTTTGTTCGGGGGTGATGAGCAGGGCTCTACTTTTGAGTTCTCCCTGCCTGGGCAAAGAGGCCTGACTTGGGTGCCAAGAGCTCAAAACTGAAGCTGCGTGGGCTTGGTAGCTTCTGGGTCACCAGCACATCCAGAGGACATCAGGACCACACATCTCTTCTTTTGCAGGCAATGTGCCATGGCTGCCTTGAGGGATGTCAAGCTGTACCTGACGGAAGAGGCTGGACAGATTGCGGTAAGAACGGAGATGCGCTCCATGGGATTTTGGCAAGTCCCAGTCCTGAATGTCCTGTGCCATTTGCTCTGCAGTTTCTTCCCTGAGGAGGGGGCTCAGTGGGAAACCAGGCACTTGTTGTGCTAACTGAAATCTTTGCTTTTAAAGGTTTTCGATGCCACCAATACCACGCGGGAGAGGAGAGGGATGATCCTAAACTTTGCCAAAGAAAATGGATTTAAGGTTGGTACTGTGGGGCTGATACCTGAATTGCATAGTCCACCTTTAGTGTACTGTTGCTGTATCTTCTTTCACTAACATGTTGTCCTCATGATGCTCCTGTGTAAGGGATATTTCATTGCTGGGTTTGATTAAAAATGTGAAACTCTTCCCTCATTCCTCATAACAAGTCCTGGAGAAGGAAACAATGGGAGTAGGGCAGAGGGAGAGCTCTCTGGGCTAGCAGGGAAGAGGTTGGGTTGGGCAAGAAGCTGGTTGAGTGTTAAAAGCCTTGTTGGCTTTCAGTTGAGGTTTGCTTTGTTTCACAGGTGTTCTTCATTGAATCTGTCTGCAACGATCCCACTGTGGTTGCCACCAATGTTATGGTAAGTGTGGAACTGTCTTGCTTTTGTTTTCCCTCCATAGACAGGTAGGAAGCCTGGTTCTCATGGTGGACTTCAACCACCCTGGTATCTGTTGGAGGGACAACACAGCATGGCACAAGCAATCCAGGAAGTTCCTGGAATGTGTTGATAATAACTTCCTTCCCCAAGAGAGGGGAGCCAACAAGGAGAATGTGCTGTGTTGCACCTTGTTGCCATCAACAAGGAAGGGCTGGTGAGGAATGTGAAGCTCAAGGGGCAGCCTGGGCTGCAGTGACCATGAAATGAGACCTTAGCAGAGCAGACTTTGGCCTCTTCAGGAATATGCTTGATGGAGTACCAGAGGATAAAGCTCTGGAGGAAAGAGGGAACCAAGAAAGCTGGATCATCTCCAAGTTCAGGTGTGATGTGTTACAAACAAAGAAGTCATCAAAAACATCAGGAGGCCTGCATGGATGAACAAGGAGCTCCTAGATTAACACAAAATGGAAACCTACAGAGGATGGAAGCAAGTAGAGGCAGCCTGGGAGGAATACAGAGATTGTTTGAGTAGCTGGGGATCAGGTTAGAAACAATAAAGCCCTGACAGAATTAAATCTGGACAGGGATGTCGGGAACAACAAGAAAAGCTTCTATAGGTACATTTGATGATAAAAGGAAGACTAGGGAAAATGTGGGCCCTCTCCAGAAGGAAATAGGAGACCTGGATACTGGGGATATGGAAAAGGCTGTGGTGCTCAATGACTTTTTGCCTCAGTTTTCACCACCAAGTGCTCCAGCCCACCGATGGAGTTGTAGAAGGCAAAGGCAAGGACTGGAAGAATGAAGTCACCTACTGTGGAAGATCAGGTTTGCGACCATCTAAGGAACCTGAAGGTCTACAAGTCTGTGGGACCTGATGTGATGCATCTGTTGGCCCTGAGGGAACAGGTGGATGAAGTGGGGAAACCACTATCCATCACATTTGAGAAGTCATGGCCATCCGGTGAAGTTCCCACTGACTGGAAAAGGGAGAACATAACCCTCGTTATTAAAAAGAGGAAAAAAAGGAGACTTGGGAAACTGCAGGCTGGTCAGTCTCACTTTGGTGTTTGGCAAGATCATGGATCAGATCCTCCTGAAAGCTATGCTGAGGCACATGGAAAATAAGGAGGTGACTAGAGAGAGCCAGCATGGCTTCACTGAAGGCAAATCGTGCGTGACAGGCAGGGCTTGGTATTGGGACTGGTGCTGTTTAACATCTCTGGTGACATGGACAGTGGGATCGAAGCACCCTCAGCAAGTTTGCCGATGACACCAGGCTGTGTGGTGTGGAGGAAGGGATGCCACCCAGAGGGACCTGGACAGGCTGGAGAAATGGGTCTGTGCCAATCCCATGAAGTTCAAGAAGGCCAAGTGCAAGGTGCTGCACCTGGGGCAGATCAATCCCAAGCACAAGTACAGGCTGGGTGGAGAATGGATCGAGAGCAGCCCTAAGGAGAAAGGGTGCTGGGCTGGGACTGGAGCATGGCTTTTACTCCTGTTGGGAGCTGTTGTCCCAGGGCCAGTGACCAGCTCTTTGAGAGGTTGCACACAGCCTTTTCCATGACGCTAATACAACCCTCAGTTTGCTGCATATTTTTTTTAACTGGATTTTTTTTTTTTGGAGGATTTTAATCCCTTTATTTGGAAACCAATGCTTGAAGGGGGAGAAAATGAATGTGGGATTTTGCTCCATGGGAGTGCTGCAGATGAATGGTGCTCGTAGTGCTGGGATCAGTGTGGAAAATACGCCATGGGCCCTGGATGCTGCCACATGTGTCACTCTGTTGTATTATCCTGTTCGTTTCAGGATTGCCTTTGAAGTTGCTAATATGTAATGCTGCTGTTCAAACCCAAATCTTCAGGGAAAATAGCCTATTAGATTAGTTCAGGGGGAAAAATAGCCTGTTACATTAGTTCAAGCAGAACTCAGTCCATGGGAGTTCTGGATATTCATGTTGCCCATTTGTAGTATCTGTCAGCCCAGTAACTTGCAGCAAATAGTGCACAGAAAGGGTTTGAATGTTGTTATGCAAATATCCTTTTGCTGACCCAGGATAAACATCTTGTCTAAGTTTGTGCACTTTCCATTCTCAGCTTGAATTTAAACCTGATGCGTTTTTTTTTTTTTTTTAACCACAAGGAAGCTCAGTTTTCCCCACTGTGTTGGGTGGTGAGGTGCTACCGTAATTCCTGGGAGAATGGGAGTGGACTGATGCACATCTATACTAACCATGCAATGGTTTATACCAGATTATCTCACTTTATGCTTATTTTTGGGTCTAACTTGCTTCTTTTGTGCCCCATGATAAGTGATGACTGTAAAGTGTCTCAGCTGTTTGCTGAATGCTGGCAGGACTTTGGAATTCGAGATTAGCATTGTTTGGCTGGGAGACCTTCCTGACCTCTCCTTGTGGTGTGTTTTTTTTTTTTTACAGGAAGTCAAATTGTCCAGCCCAGATTACCGGGACTGTAACTCCACTGATGCCATGGAGGACTTCATGAAGAGGATCAACTGTTACCAAGCCAGTTACCAGCCACTAGACCCCGATGACTATGACAGGTAAGAGACTTTGCTGACTTTTGAGCTGGCTTAAACACCCTCCTGCTCCCAGGAGAGAAGCAGTGAAGGATGAAGCTGTAATTCACTTTGTGTTCAAATACCTGACTGTGCTAGAGTAACGTATGACCAAGCCTCACCTCAAAACCAGGCTTTTTCCTTGAAAATGCTGGTTTTCCCCAGCCCTGTGTCAGGGAGTCGGGCACTGAAACTTTCCCAGGCTCTTCTGGGCTCGGATATGCTGTTTTCAACCCTGTTCTGCAGGTCTAAATACAAAGGGTTTGGAAAAGCACTTGAGTTTGAGTGGTTGAGGTGCTTTTGTCGTTGTCCCACTTAAAGGAAGGGATTGGTTGGCTCAGACCACAGGACTGAGCAAACCCTGTGGCTTCTGCCTAGTTGTGTGCCCTGGGAAGACCTTTACTGTCCTGCATGACTCTGCAGGCACCTCCCAGCCTTTCCACTGCTCACAAACACGTCTGTGTGCTCTACCCGGATTATTCCACTCCTGCTGATCCCTGTTGTGGGGAGGAGCATGTTCCCTGTTAGTCCTGTTTAATCCTCTTTACTGCTGCAAGGAGGAATGGCGATTACACTGGTGTTATTCAGCTCTCCGTGAATCCCCACTACCTGTTGGCTTCCTGTTGAAAATAGCCTGCAGGAAATCCTTTTAGCTGGGTGATTATTATGCTGAGGGAGATAAGTCACAAGGCTGTTTCATGAGAATGATGTTTCTTTCTTTCCCTAGGGAACTTTCTCTCATCAAAGTCATTGACGTTGGCCGGCGGTTCCTGGTCAACAGGGTTCAGGATCACATCCAGAGCAGGATTGTTTACTACCTGATGAACATCCACGTCCAGCCCCGTACCATCTATCTCTGTCGGCACGGAGAGAGCGAGTTCAACCTCATGGGCAAGATTGGAGGGGACTCTGGCCTCTCCAACAGGGGCAAGAAGGTGAGGGAGAAGGGGAATACTCCCCTGTGGCTTCAAGGAGGGGTTTGGCTGTAGTAGATGCCATGTGTTGGATGAAGTGTATATTTGATGACAGCTGGGTTGCTCAGGATCCATCCATAGGGCTGGTTAAGTTTGGGCATGACCTCAAAACAAGACTTCCCAGCCATCATTGTTACTTGTAGTCTTGCACATACTTGGGCCTTAGCAGAGATTGGGCTGCAGAAAGCAAATAAGCAGAGCTATGGTTAAGGATGGCCAGGGATTTTCCATAACACTGTGGGAAAGCCCAGGTCATGGTGCTGTTTCCTGAGTGCTGATCTTCCTTGAAGACAATAGGTTGCCTCTTTCTCCTCTGTTTTCTCTCTGTTCTCACACCCCTTCTTGGGGATCATTGCATGTGTGGCTGCTCATCACCTCGGAGCAGAAGACTCATCTGTCTGCTTATGGAGGGCAAAAGCAGACCTGAAGAAGTCAACACTTACTGGGAAGCAGGGAAGAAGGCCCATTGGGAAGCTATGGACCAGGAATCAACCTTTTTTTTTTTTTTTTTTTTTTTTTTATGCCCCACAGTTTGCGCTGGCGCTGAACAAATTTGTAGAAGAGCAGAACCTGAAGGACCTCAAAGTCTGGACCAGCCAACTAAAAAGGACAATCCAAACAGCAGAAGCTCTCCAGTTGCCCTACGAGCAGTGGAAGGCACTCAATGAAATTGATGCTGTGAGTATCTTTGATTGCAGTAGGAAGAGCTGGATCAGGCTGGTTGTTGCTTGACAAGAGAGAGAAATAGCACCAGACTCTTTGCTTCTGCTAAATCTCAGCTGCCATGGGGAGATTTTCCTTCTGTGGGAAAGGGTGATACCTCTGCAGGACTCACCTTTTAGCTTTGATCTTAGTTGTACCTTCTGCAGATTCAAGTGTTGTCTTGAATTATAGAATGGTTTGGGTTGGAGGGGACCTGAAAGACCATCTGTTCCAACCTTGTGCCATGGGCAGGGACATCTTCCACTAGACCAGGTTGCTCCAAGCCCCATCCAGCGTGGTGGATTAAAATGATTTTTGCTTGGAACTGCTCTGTAGCTGAGCACTCATAGGGTTATAGACAATTGCTTTGGAGAAGGTTTTACGTGTTGGCTGTGCTGATGCTTTTTGACCCGAGTATGTCCAGTAACCATGGATGTCCTGTTCTGGCAGGGTGTGTGTGAAGAAATGACGTATGAGGAAATCAGGGAGCAACATCCAGAGGAATTTGCTTTACGTGATCAGGATAAATATTACTACCGTTATCCTTCAGGGGAGGTAAGTCCCCAGGGAGACCTCCAGAGACATGACTTCTGCTTTAAATGTGGCCTTTTTGTCTTCATTCTGTCCTCTAAACTTGAGTAGTGAGTGCTCTAAGAAACTAGAATAGAGAAAAGTCAGGGCTTATATTCACCTCTATGCTGAGCTCTTGTGAAATTGTGGTATGTGAAGATATCACTGAGAAATGCACCACTTAACAAACAGTCCCACTGACTTTACAGCAGATTAGAAGGAAAGGGACTCTGGAGGTTTCTAGTCCAAGTTCCATCATTATATCCACTCAAAGTGTTGTGCTGCCCCAATTTCCTTTTCTGTCATTTCCAAAAAAAGTAATTTTCACCCTGTTCTCAGTATCATTCCCTAAGGGTTGATGGTAACAGCTCTGTTATTAGCAATCTGCTTTCAGCGTGTGACACAATGAGGTGGGAATTTACATCAGTTCTGGATGATACTTTAGGCTGTGAATTGAGCTATTTATCCCCAAATTAAAAGTCATTTGGGAAAATAGACATAGACATTTGGGAAAAATCTTAGATACACTGTCATGAGGATGTTTCCAAACAGAGGAATGTGTGGAGATGTCAGACATCGCCTCTGGGTGTCTGGAGCTCATTCTGGCTGCCTGTCATGGTATTTCAAAACCCTGGCATTTCTCAGGTTGCCCCAGACTTTTCATAACTTAGAAATCCTGTAGAAAAATCAAATTTCAAGATGAGAGAGGGATGCTATCCTGAGAGCCTCTATTGCTTACCTCAATAAAGTCTCCAGTACTGAGATGTGATTCACTGAGATGGGAACAACTTCTTCTCTGATGGAAGAAGTATCTGTGTTCTAGAGTAGACTGAAGATAAGGATTTACTTGTTTTTAGCAGTAATTATGTTAGTTTAGTCAGAGGCATGAAATCAGTAAATGTAACAAGACAAGGAGCATTGCTGCTCCTGAGGTGCTCGTTTCTTTGAGTCTATGCCTCATCTTCCTTCCTGTCTTTTGTCCCAGTCCTACCAGGATCTGGTGCAGCGCCTGGAGCCAGTCATCATGGAGCTGGAGAGGCAAGAGAACGTCCTTGTGATCTGTCACCAGGCTGTCATGCGCTGTCTCCTGGCATACTTCCTGGACAAGAGTGCAGGTGAGCTCCCAGTCTGTGGGAAGAGGATGGACCCTGCTGGAGGAGGGGTGATGGATGCAGCTCCGCGGAGATGTGTTCAGGTCAATGTGGGCCTGGAGCATACATCTTGTTAGGTGTGGGGTGGCCTTGGCTGTTGATAAAGATGCTTTTGGAGAGGAGGTAGGATAACCTTCCTGCTTTGCTGTCTCTGCAGATGAAATGCCCTACCTGAAATGTCCCCTTCACACGGTGTTGAAGCTGACCCCGGTGGCCTACGGTAAGTGGGACCTTCCTACTAAACATGTGGAGAGGTTTGACTTGTACCTCCTCCTGAATCCAGGCTGCCTCTGGGAGAACAGCAGGGATTTGTGGTGAAGCACTGGGCAACACCCTGTACCTTTTGGGTTTGCTGATGGCCTCTCTGTCTCCTTGTGCTCCCCTCTGCAGGCTGCCGGGTGGAATCCATCTCGCTGAACATCGAAGCCGTCAACACCCACAGAGATCGGCCGGAGGTGAGTGTTGCTTTTCCTTGGAGCCATCCCTTGGTGATCCCCTCCTGTCCCCTATGGTCAACTGGCAGTGGGAACACCTGGAGTGGGCATGGGGAGATGGCTCAGCTGGGTGCTTGGAAGTGCTGCTGGTGGAGCATCAGATGGGTTCTTGCTCGGCAAAGTTGTGGCTGGTTCAGGGTTTTCCAAGGGAAAAGGAGCATTGCATGTGCCTGCTTCCCAGTGTGTTTGCCCAGACTAGAGCTGGCCCAGGGAAAGCTCCTCCCTGGTCTTTCCCTTTTACCAGTACAGTCATCCATTCACTGAAGCAAGGAATGGAGCCATGGGTGGAGAAGGTGACTTCTCCCAGGTCTCCCAGTTTTCTGGCAGAGCCTGGGCTCAATGCCCAAAATCTGACTTTGCAGATTTTGATTGTTTGTTTTTGTTTTTTTTTTTTTTCCTTGTATGCCCATGGCACTGTGGGGCTACCAGAATGCCTTTCTGCTGGGTGGGGTGTAGTGGTGCTGGGCTGGGAATGCTGTGGGGAGGAGACCCCTCTTCTGAAAAAATTCCTGTAAGGGCTGGTCTATCTGCCATGTGCTCCAGTGGGAGCTCAGAGGCCAGAGAGTGGGATACCAGCTTGGTGTTGGGTCTGGGTGCCCCGGGGATGTTGTGCCCCTGTCCCAGATGCTGGGACCTTTCCAACTTGTGCTTAGTGGTGATGGAGCCCAACTGGATGCTGGACAGTCGGAGCCATCCTCTTTTGGCCCACGTCTCCTTTCCTTCACTTCCCGACCTTGGCAGGTGGCAGCATCTGGGCCACCTCTCCCTCCCCATGGCTGTAAGGGGGAAGCCAGTCGTTCCCCCTGCCGTGGGGGCCATCAGTGCCCTCCTCCACCACCCTTGCTGGGGGTGGCAGGAGGGCCAAGGGTAGGATGGAGCAAGACACACACGAAGTGCTTGGGTCCCCTGCTCGGCTGTGTCGGCGCTGCCCCTCCATCCCTCCTCGCTTGAGTAGGAGCTTGGCAGTGCCAACCCTTGCTGGCTGCTCTGCTCCCACTTCCCAAGTCTTCCTTATCAGCTTGGGCTGGCTTGTCTTCCCTCTTCTTGCTTTCACACCTCTCCCTGGGCAGAGGGACCGGCTTCCAGGAGGAGACCAGACTGATGAGTGCCTCTCTCTGTCATGCAAAGTCATGCCTTGACTGCTGCTCGGTGTTTTTAGCTATCTGTAGTTACTCCTTTGTGAGCAGAGACTTAGGTGAGGGGAAGGTCTTTTGTGTCTGAGTGCAGGGCACTTTATTTTTGGCCCCTCCCATTCTGTGCTCTTGAACACTTTTGTATCGGGGGTTTTTTTTTATGTGTCCAGAGCCTTTCGTTTGCTCATTGACAGTGATTGTGGGGAAAAACAGAGGCCACTTTAAGAAAAAAAACCAAAACAACCTGCTCCTTTTTTTTTTCCTTTATAACTGTCGCCTTCTTCCCTTTTTTTTTAATTTTACTTTATTTTTTTTTTATATTTACTTTTATTTTCTTTGTCTCACTTTAATTTAGGAAGCAAAGAAGGGACCTAACCCGCTCATGAGACGTAATAGCGTTACCCCTCTAGCAAGCCCAGAGCCCACCAAAAAACCTCGCATCAACAGCTTTGAGGAGCATGTGGCTGTTTCTTCTGCCCTGCCAGGCTGTGTTCCTCAGGAAGTGCCCACGCAGATGCCGGGACAAGTTAGTTGAAATCTCTCTTTTTTTTTTTTTTTTTTTTTTTTTTCTTTTGTTGTTGTTCTTGTTGTTTTATTGTTTGTTGTCCTCCTGTCACTCCTGAAGCTGAGGAACTGCTTGCACTTGTCGCAACCTGTGCTGCTGTCTCTGAGATGCATCTTCCTCCCACGGCTGCTGTCCTTCCCTGCCTTGGGTTGGTCTCAGGAGCGCCCGGCGAAGGGTCCCTGTTGATCCTCTCTTGGGTTTTGAGAGCGTCATGAACTCCCCCCAGTGGGCTGTGTTAATTTAGTGCCTTCACTGTCCAGCATCGTGGTGTCAGACTCCCAGGGAGCTACATTTCTAGAGGGAGCAGGACCAAAGGGCTTGTGCCTTCTCTGTGTGTGCTCGGCTCCAGTGTAGACCTGGGCATTGCAATAAAGCAAATGTTCTTGTGCTTCCCTCGAGACGGAGCTGCCAAGACTCATCTTTGGCTGGAGGGATCTCTTTCCTGGAACAATAGGCAAAATGGACCAAAATTGAGTAGAAGCTTCTTGGTGTGGTGAACCTGAGTTGAAACCCTGTGGGTGGTTGCTGTGGTGCTCACGTACCCTCTGTCACCCACCCGTGAAGAGATCTAGGAAGAGAGACCTTGCTGAATGCACGCTTCTCCAGGAACAAACACCCTTCCCTGAGCTCATAAAGGAACTGGGATGGTACTGGAGAAGCAGCACGGGAGCTGCTTTGCCATGCTGCCCTTCCCACCAGCTGCCTGTTGGATCTCACTGTCTTGCCCAGCCCCTCTTTCTGTTACCTGTGTTGTCTGGTATCCTCTTGCCCCTCCTCAGCCAGATCACGGGCAGGTTAGGAATGGCTCTGTGCTCCCAGATTGCTCTGCTTGGTTGCTGCTTTGCATGAGCCTCCCACCCCAGCAAGCACCAAGTGGGACAGCCCAGCCTGTCTTTCAGCTTTTGGGGTCTGCTTGGGCTGGTTGAGTCTTACACAAACTCTTTGCTGGCTCCGGGTTTGGAAGCTCTGGCTGTCGGGTGCCGTCCGTCGTCCTCTGCCCAGTCTGGCACGGCGTTACTGACACCTCTCTCTCCGTTCTCTCTGTCTCTCTGCAGCCTTTACTAGGGAAGGCATGCCTGTAAGTACCTTCTTGCGTCTTATTCCCCCTTCCAACCCTTTTCCATGTCTCTTGCCATCCCACTGGTTGTTTTGTTGGGAAATCTGACTGGGGTGTGGACTTTTTTGGAGTTAATATTTCTCTGTTTTGAGGGGGATTTGTCTTAGGAAAGGTAAAGAGGAGACCATGGATGTTGTTTTGCCCAACTCCTGAATATCCTAGCTTGGTTAAATGCCCCAAGTTTGTTTTGAAATGAAGCAAGTTATCACTTGCATTCTGTTGATGATACCTACGTTCCCTGGACAGTCATGGGATGGGAGGTACTGTTGGGTTTTCCTGAAGTTGTCTTCTCTGTGATGGCACATTGTGCTGTAGGTGATAGACCTGGATGATCTGTTCTTCCTAAGGGCTCTGAGTTGTGTCTATAAGTGATGGCACCAGAGAAGGTTCTGACCATCTCAGGAGTGTGTCTTCTGGAGCTGGATTGATCCTGGAACCAGGCATCTGCAGTTCTGCAAACCTGGATTTTGGGAACAGTCAACTTAGATGTCATGGGCAGAGTAGATGCAAATTTCCTTCTGTATTAAGAAAGGAAAAAACCTTGAGCATTTAATGCACTAATTATGAGTAATCAAGACTTTGACAGTTTGGCTTAGTGCTGTTAGATCCTTATGTAACAGGGTCGGGACAACTTCTAGGTGAATTTGAAGCCTTTGGACTCAATTTATGCTACATCATTGACTTGAGAGCACAACAGTTGTAGAGATGTGCTCAAATGTCTTCTCAAAGACTGAGAAGACTTTGGGGCTGAGTTGGGACTGGGGTAGTGCCCGGGGGTCTTCTAGAGTAAAAGTTTTTGAAAAAAGGGTAGTTAGGAACATTGCCCTTGGCTTTACTGGTGGTTGGATTGGGGAAGATCATTGTGCTCTTAGGGCCAATGTAGGAATTAAGTTGCTCAGCATGGCTTGTATGCCTGTGCTCCTTTCCTTGCTGCTCATGGGCACAAAAGTCCCTGATGAAATGTCTAGTCTTCTTGGGTTGCTTTGAATGTTTTTTTGGTTTTTTTTTTTTTTGGTTTTTTTTTTGGTCCATCCCTCCATCCACCTCTTCCCCATCCGTATTTCAATAAAAAGCACTGCATGCCTCAGTACTGGCTGGTACACTGAAAACACTCCCTGGTGTTGAATTTGGGGGATGGCTGTGTCAGATTTAGCTGGACCAAGAGCTCTACTGGAGCAGGCAGTGATGGTTACCCATCCCAGGTGTAGGCTGGCAGCGACGAGTTTAAAATCTCCAGCTGCTGGGAGCCTGCCTCCACCTGCTAGTGTGGGACTTGTGGAAAGGCTGCTTTTGTGGGACCCATGAAGACACCCTAAACTAAAGGCTTGGTGACATTCATGCTGTTGTTAACTCTCAGAGGCTGTTTTCTTACATTTGGTCACTCGCTTTGTCCCATCACCACTTGTGTGGGGTCAGGGGAGGTGGAAGGTACCTCATTCCCAATTTACACCATGGGACTGGGTTGGCAGTGAGTGTTTTGTTGCATTAACCTTTGCTATTGGGGTCTTGATTCCCATCCAGGAGGATCAGGGGACACCTGGAAAGGCAGGCAACATGGCTATGGGATTGAGCTGGTTTGGGATTGTGGGACTACCTGCTGTGATGATTTCTTTTCCTTTTGCTTGGTTTGTGATCCAAAGTGCACTTTTTAACAACCACCTGATCCCCTCCCTTCTTCTCCCCTTCACTTTTCATGCTTAAAGAAGACCCGTTTGTCACTTTCTCAAAGTTTTCTCTTTACTAATATTTCCAAGGTAAATGGCTCTGGTGCATGTGGCTTTTCCTGATCCTCCTTCTGTCTCCTTAGATAACAGAGAGAGCAACTCTGCCTTGTAGCATGGCTGGGATTCCTGGTGCTTGTAAGAGGTAGCTTAGGTAGAAAAAGCAAATAAAATAAAAAATACTCCTCAAAAAAATAGAAACCTTCCTAGCTGTTTCCTACTTCTTTTCCCTACCCTGTTTTGTGTAGTTTTGTGAGTTGGGCAGTGTCCTTGTGGTCATCTCCCCTGGGTTTCTCCTTGAGCGGATACTTTCCTTGGGCCTGGTCCTGCTTGTGTTCAGATGATTGTCTCTGGTTTTGTGGTTCCCACCACACACTGGTGGATACCTGTTGTCACCCTGTATCAGGGCTGTGTCTGGAGTGTCTCTAGGGCCCATGAAACCTCATGGGGTTGTCATTGGGGGAGTGTGTGCTCCTGCCATACCAATGGTGGTGGCTGGTCCCCATGCTGGGGACCTCATTGGCATGGCTGGTGGGAGTTGCCTCTTCTTGTCAGTGCCGAGGATGGACAAACAATGACCTTGCCCTTGGCAGGCAGAGGGGACACTGCCCACCCTCAAGGGGAGCAAGAGAGATGTTTAATTGGGCACCTTGACTGAACACCGTGGTCCTCTGTCACCTTGCCTTGCAGGGACCACAGAGCAGCTTCAGAAGTGCGGACCAGGTGGGGTGGGAGGATTGCCTTGGGTTTAGTTCAGTTCTTAGGGTTATCTCTGTCAAATTCCCACCCTGTAGTTAAAGCCAGGCGATGCTTGAGGGGAGAGGTGTGGGTAACCAGCCAGCATATCCTCCCCTCACAGAATCACATAATGTTGTTTGGAAGGGACCCACAAGGATCATCAAGTCCAACTCTTCATCCAGTGCCCCACACAGGGATTGAACTCATGACCTTGATGTTTTCAGTACCGTGTTCCAACCAAATGAGCTGATCTCAGGGTCATCCCTCTCCCTGGGTGGACAGTGTCCTCTCCTCTGTGGCGGATGCTTCCGTAGTGACCCGTCCGTGCTTTGTTACCCTCCGTCCCTGTGTTGACGTGTACGTAGAAGACGCTGCAGGTCTGACCCAAGCACAACCCTCTCAACCCCTTCTCCTTCCCCTCTCGTTTCAGAACATGAACAACTCACAGAAGCCGTCGTGACTCCGTTGGCACTGTCGCGAGGCCGCCGGCGACGCCAGCTTCCCATCCCACTGCCATTCCCGAAGCTTGCTTATCCACCGGTCTCCTCCGAGGGCGACCCTCGGCTGTTCCTGCTCACGCCCGTTCATCCGCAAACCGCTCTGCTGCCGGGGGGAGGGATGCAGGAGAGCGGAGGAGAGCAGCTGAGCTCCCCCCGCGGGTCAGCACCAGCTCTTCAGGCCGCAGCGTTTGCTCTCCTCTCCAGCGTCCTGTAGGGTCGTAGCGAAGCTGTAAAGTGCTTTCTAGCGCACAGGAGTTTTAATTTTTTCCTCTCTAAGCGGTTTTGATCTTCTGTATAGATGATTGGTACCCACTTGTCTGCGGGTGGGGTGTGTATATATGTGGATGGTGCGGGGTTAGTGGAGAAATAGGGGGAAGGGAGGGTGGGCAAAGGGGTTTTGCATTTTTTTTTTTCTTAATTATTATTAATTCTTGGTAAGCCCCTCCCAAGCTGTGCTGCAGTCCTTCACCCACGCTACAGCCTGTCACACACGTCAGCCTGGCTCACCCAGGTCTGCGAGCACCAGGAAGGCAGCTGTGTGAACTCCTTCACTGCTAGGTTTAACTAAAAAACCCCATTCTTTCCTTTTTTCTTTTTTTTTTTTTTTTTTTAATCAGTAACACCTTAAAGGGGTTTGCAGGGAATGTAGGTCTGCTGCCAACACTGGTTACAAGCTGCCTGTAGTGTAGGAGGAACCACACTGCTGGTGGCTTGGGTGATGCTTTCGTCTCGGGGAGCACCCAGGGATGGTCTGAGTTCAGGCGTGGTTGATATTTAGGGGGAGACTGAGCACTGTTTTGAGGTGCTGTGCTGGTACTTCATCTCCCCTTTCCTCTTTCTTGGAGGAAAGAGGAAGTATTGGGAGGGGTTTGAATCCCCAGGCTGAGCTTAGATGCGTTTTGTAGACACACAGGTCTCATGGAGGTGGCCAGAAGTCTGGCCGGGTTGCAGGAGTCCCTGTCTGGCTGCAAAAAGCCACAAGAAGGGACAGTTTTGTCTCTATTCTTTTTTTAATTTTATATATACATGCACATACATGTGTGTGTGTATGTGTATACATAGAAACCGCTTGGTTTTTGCACTTTATTTGTGGCAGGAGCATAACTATTGTATTTTTTTCAAGTCGTGCCCCTTAACAGGGGAAGCCTGAATACAGGCAACTGTTTGGTTTTTTGTTTGTTTTTAATTGTATTTTGCATGCTGGAAAGCTGGGACTACAAAATAATAGTAGTTACAGTGTTCAAGGTGTGTGTGGGGGGGGGGAATGGGGTGAGGTCCTGACTTTGACTCCATCAGCCAAAGTCCCAGTGGTTTGATACAAGAGATTCCTTGTTGGCAGCCTGCCCTAGGCTGAGAGACAGCAGTTAAAAATGGCAATTAACCACTATTGCTTTGTGGAAAAGTCTGTGGATTTTGAAGTTTTTTTTTTTTTTTTAGGGTTTTGGGTTGGGCTTTGGTTTGTTCCCCACCTACGTGCAACATCTCCTCCATCCCCATCTCATGGGTTTTTTTGGCTGGAGGCAGGAGGTGAAGTTAAGCTGCTCCTCCTGCAGCGCTGGACGGAGAGGTCTGGGGAGAAGTTATGACTTTTTTTTTTCGTGTGTGTGTGTGCATGTTTTTGGGGGGTGTTGGTCTGTTTTTCCTTTGGGAAAAGGCGAACCACAGTGCCTAACGCTTCAGCCTCGCGCTTGGAGCGGCACCAACAGCGGGAGGGGGCCAGGACCACGCTCAGCCCGTGTCCTACAGTGCCCTGCCTGTGTGAGCTTGTGCATATGTGTATTATATTCCTGTACAGATGAAACCAAGAACACTTACCCCTACTTCATTCATTTCTTAATAGCCTCATTAAAAGCAACCTCTTTCTCCCTGTGTGCACGGGTGGCATCTGCCCTTTTGGTTTCTCTGCCTTTGAGATAAACGAATGTTTTGGGGAGGTGACTTCACTTGGCTTTTCCAACCTCCTTCCTGGGGAGTTTTATCTCCCACCTCCTGCTGCAAAAAGATAAGCCAGCAAATACAAACATGACGTCTGGCTGCCCTGAGATCAACCCTGTACACATGTAATTCTGCGGATGTTTTGGTGTGTATTTGTGTGTGTGTATATATATATATAAATATATATATATAAAAACAGAAAAAAAATGGCCCTAAACTTTCTTCCTTTGGGAATAATAGATGTCTCAGTAGGTCCATGAAAAAATGAAATTTGAACATGGCATTTTCTCCAGCAATGGGAAAACTGGTCTCTGAGGTCCTCTTGTGCTGGAGGGGTTGGTGGGATGGTGCCATCACACTGCCCCAAAAACTCACTGCCCATTGCTTTTGGTTAACAGCCAAGGCAGGGTGGGAAAGAGGACTTGTCAAACCACACCAGTGATTTCTTCCCCCCTCTTTTCCCCTGGTTTTGTTTTCCTTTGTGATACTTGAATTTATTTTTTTAATTTTTTTTGATAGCAAAGCATTCTTTATTTATTTAATGTATACTGCAAAGCTTGGAGAGAAGGGTGTAGTTACTTGGGGTTATTTTTTTTTTTTTTTGATTTGTGGTATGTTAACTGTTCTGTATATAGGTCTGGAATAATTGCCTGATATAAAGCTGTGCCAGCTTAAAAACAGGGTCTGCCTTTCAGAAATTTGTATATTTTGCAGTTGCTGGACCAATAAAATACCTTGTTGAAGTACAGATGTGTCCTGGTTCTTCCTTGTATTAGGAATTATGCTCTCAGGCCCTAAGGGTCACTGTGTGCCACGCAGTGCTGCCTCACACATATGTTCCTGTGCCTTGTAAATAAAAATTCTCATGAAAGACAAATAGTGGATGCTCCATCTCTGGAAGTGTTCCAGGCTGAGTTGGATGGGGCTTGGAGCATCCTGGTCTAGTGGAAGGTGTCCTGTCTATGGCTCTACCTGCTACATCACCCTTGAGTATGGTGGTGATGTCTTGGAACCTGTCCTGCCTAGATCTTCATCTAGCCTGCAAATTAGACATGAGAGGCATTTATTCAAACCTAGTCTAGTTCTTGAAATCAAATACCTGCTTAAAGTGATTAGGTGCTAAATGAAGGGCTGAGCAAGAGCTGGCCTCTGAGGTCACAGCTGTCTTTGCCCACGAGGCAGGGAAACAGCAAATGCCACCTGCAAGCAAAGTTGTAAAGTTCCCTGCAAAGTTCTGTTTTGGGTTGTTTTTCTTAAATTTTTTATTTCTGGTTCCAGAGAAAGAGTGGGAGAAGGCAGGGAACGGTGTAATTTGACGAGATTTTCTGGAGCACATCTTGGGTGGATTGCTCCAATGTCATTGCAGGCTTGTCCTCCACCAGCAGCTTGTCAGGAGCAAAAGGGGCAAAAAGGTGGAGACCACTGCGTATCCTAGCTCAGCTCTGGGGTTACCTCCTGCTGGCTCCTGTGCAGTCCTTGCTCTGATTTCCCCTCAGGTGTCAGAGCCTGTCAAGCCTTGCTTTGGGCTGCGGCTTGCTGGGATGCACAAGGATCTGTCTTCTCTCTTCTCCTAATTGCTCTGTGCTTCAGAGCCTCTCACCAGGAAGGAGGTTCTCATTTTAAGCTTGATTGAGGCACCTGCAACAATATTTTCTAGGTGAACGTGCAGACATGTGAGACTGGGGTGATGTTCATCCCTGCAACCATCCTGAGGGCAGGGAGGACCCGTTCTTTCTGGGAAATCCGGAAACCACAAGATTTTGAATTTTTTAAATTTTTTTTTCCAATCTCTAGTAGCCCAGCCATCTCCTTGACCCAACCAGAGACAAAACACTTGCCTTATTTTAAGGCAAGGAGCGTAGCCTTGCACCCACCTCACAGGGAGTCTGGCACGAGTGTGGGGGCCCTGATAAGGCCTCCAGCCGAGGTGAGCCGAGGTTACACGTAGCCACAACATCAGTTCAGCTCTCCTGCCTTCCCTGGGGCAGGCAGGGGCTGTTTTGAAGCCATAACAACCTTGTACTTGTGGGGGGAGCACAGGGGGAAGGCTTTGCCTCCCGGAGCGTGGCTGTGGGCAGCGCTTCCAAGGCTGGTCTGCAAGAAAATGCCACCTCCAAAAGGTCTTTTCTCCTCTTTCTATGTGTGTGATGGGGCTTGTATCAAGATGTCCATGCAGGAGAGCCAAGCAAGGAAGGGGAGTCAGTGTCAAAGCCATCTCAGGCAGCATCCTTTATTTTTCTTCCATGTGATACAGTTTCTAGCATCTCAGAGAGGAGAGGTTCCTTGAGGCAGGGCAGCTTTAAAGGTTATACTTGACAGCAGGAACATTTCTCTGCTTCCAGTCAGTCGAGTCCCATTTTTATTAAAATTAAAAAAAAAAATAACCCCCCCGCTCACTGCTGGCAAACAGGGCGAGAGAACTTGTGATTGCTAAAAAAAAAAAAAGAAAAAGGACAACCCAGTCACGCTGGCTGACTCAGCTCTGATTGATGGCTCAGGAATGTGTCTGGGATTAAATAAACCACCACGGGCAAACCTTTACAATGCAACATGTTGGATGAAGCACAGCAGGCACCAGGCTCACCTGCCTCCAACTGGGAAGTGACAGCCCTCATGTCATGGGATTGGAGGGGATTTTTTTCTTTTTTATCCATCTGTGAGGAAAAAAAAGTAAATAAATTGATATTTTTGTGAATTGCTTTGCAAGGGGCTCTAATGGGAATTATTTGCAACAGCTCCAGGTATTCAGATGCATTTGTGCACTTTTGCTACAACCAACACGTCCTGGGAAGGAATATGTTTGTGCTGAAATATAGAGAATTTATTTTACAGCTCTGCACAGAACTGTGTAAATCACAGTCTTGCTGCTCCATGCTAAACTTTGCTAAGTGTCAGGGTCCCTTCCTCACCTCAAGGGTGGGCTCAGAGCCCAGGCTTCGTCCACGGCCACGAGAAAGCTGCGTGGATGTGAGTATTTCACACTTGCATTTCCCTTGCTCATGTGTCCATCTGTGTCTTCTCTGAGGCTAAGGGGTGTAAAGGGGCAGCACCAGTCTTGTCTCCCTGAGCTGTCCTTTCCCCAGGTGTGTAACAGCCTATTCCCATTCCCTGGGTGTGAAAGAGCCCATTTCCATGCCTGGTCAGGCTCAGGGTGGGTCTGGAGGGTGCAAATTCGCTCCTGGTGATTTCATGCCCCAAATAAAACCCTCCTGGTGTGGCTGCCTGAGCCCTTCTCCGACCTCACCCCTGCCCATTGAGGGATCCCCTGACCCTGGCCCTGGCCTTGCTCATCTCAGCAACAGCCATCCAGTCTGCAATTGGACCTGTTCAGATGCTCCTAAGCCCTGTGAGTTGGTCCTGCTGGAGAAACCTCCATCTGCAACCTTTCTGTTACTTGCCCTGACCACAGCAGAGCATCCTCAGCTTGGAACTGCTGCTTGGTTATAGCTGGACAGTGACATATCCCATTGTGGTAGCTCCTTGCAACCTCCTGGATAAATGCACAGAGGGATTTTTTTCATATAACACGTCTTGAGAAATCAGACTGTGTCATTTCCCCAGCCATGTGCTTTTCCTTTCCGATTTCTTCCCTCTTGGGTTATGGCCTGTTTGCCTTGGATGATCTGGACGCTGTTTGCAGAGCTGTTGTTCTCCACAGCTGTGGCAGGACTCAGAGGGGGCCTTGAAGGTTTGGTCAGTTGGCTCTGCTGGGAGTGCTGGTTAGAAAAAGTGAATTGAAACTGAACCTAGTTGTCAGCAATGCTGGAAAATGTTACATCACGTGGATGGAGGAGGAGTGGTAAGAGTCAATATCAAAACAGCATAACCCTAAAGTACCTGATCTAATTGAAGATGTTCCTGCTCATTGCAGGGAAGTTGGACTAGGTGACCTTTAAATGTCCCTTCCAGCCCAAACTGTTCTACAATTCTGTTCTATTATTCAATTCATTTGAAATGAAATTCATTTACAGTTCCTGCATTCACAAAATAGGCCTAATGTCTCATGTTCTGCCTGGAAGTGCCCTGCTTGCTACATCCTGCTGATCCTGGGTCCTGCTCCATGATCCAACCCTAGGACCTGTATCTGGTCTGGGAAGGCCATGGGTGGACCCAATCCTTGCTGCTGCTGGGTCCAGGCTGGGCTCTGTGTCCTGGGAAACCTTCATTGTAAGGGTTGCCCTGTGTTTTCCCTGTTGTCTGATGCTCTGTCCAACATGTGTCGACACAAGACAGAGCAACAGAATATGAAGAAATCACAGAATCGCAGAATGGTTTGGGTTGAAAGGGACCCTAAATAGCACCCAGTTCCAACCCTTGCCATGGGAAGGGACACTTTCCTTTAGAAAGACACTTCCATTATAGCCCCATCCAACCTAACCCTGTACATTTCCAGGGATGGGTCAGCACTTCCAGGGATGGTTCTGAGTGTTGCCAGGGCCTCGATCTCCTGGTAGTCTCTTCCATCATGAGCCACCACTATCCTTTGAGGACCAAGAAACTCAATCCAGCTGCTGATGGCCTAAATCCCTCAAGAAGTCTTCTAAAATGTTACCTTCCACAATCCTAAGGAAAATATAATTTACAACCTGTTAAGACTATGACAAGGTTACTGAGTTTGATGAGCTGCCTGACCAGCCAGATAAAACTCAACTGATGCATCTGTCCACCCAACTTTCTGCACAGTGAGAAGTTCGTTTCTTGCTGATCTGAGACTCAGAGCTACCCCAATCTGAAGGGATGGTGGTAAGACAATGTTCAGGATCCCACAGGTTTTGTGAATTCCTTCTCCCTCTAGTATAAGGTGCAGACTTTGATATTGCACCCACTCTTAGCCAGACACACAGCAAACATTTGGTCTTCTGAGGTGAGTGTTTTTTGTACTGAAATCAATGTTGGTGGCTTGGTGCAGAAGTTAAAAAAGTGGGTGGCAGCAGAGGTTGCTACTAAGAACACCGTTGAATTAGAGCTACAAAGAGAAACAATAATTAAGACCTAACAAATAATTACCATGGTGGAGGGCAGCTCAAGAATGAGCACAGCCCCACATCCAGATATTTCTAGCTGCAAGTCAAACCCCACAATTAAGCTGTGATTTTGGTCATTACGAGGAGGCATTTCCAGAGCTGAGTCTTGCTGTTCACTGCCTTTATCCACCAAAATGACTGGCTGAGCATCAGCAGAAAGAAAACCCAGCATTTTGATAAATGTCATCCAAACCAGACTGGAGAGCCTGTGTTAAATGCCTCCACCAAAGCTGGATGCCAACCTGTGGGCAGAGCTGGAGCTGAAGAGAAGAGAAGGCTTTCTGGCTAGGAGGAGATGTGTTGTTTTAGAGGTTGGTGGTACCTAAAAATACCAGTATCCTCTCTTGGGAGTTCCACCATATGACAGCATGGAGAAGCAAATGTCACCATGCATTTCTCTGCCTCTTGGTCCATCTCTACCCACTCATTACTCCAGGGCACTGATCCATCAGTAAAAAAAGGGGGGAAGGAGGCTGTAGCTCTCACACGGGTACCTGGTCACCTCGTCCACTCCTTGCTTCAAGCACAGTGTCCCCAGGGGTGTCTCCACAGGCAAGTCACACCATTGACCCAGATTTCAGGGGGATGGCACAAGTGTTAATGGCTGATTTCCTTCCTGACTCTCCCACTGGTGGTGCTGCAAGGACTGTGACTTACCCTGACTGTTCCAGAGCTGCTCTTTTACCTTCCAGATAGTATTAATATCACCCACTATCAACCAGGC